GGCGATGGTTCTGGATTTCTATTGCACCTATTGTGTCAATGATTGTCACGTTAGTATGGGGGAGATAAGAGGGCACCTCTGAACATTTTCATGACAATTTTTTAATTTCAAGGAAATGGCTAACAAGGACATGCAACTAGCTACAGGAAATAACAAAAACGTTATTCAAAACGGCGGGATGGGACCTTTTCCATTTTTCGCCATGAAATTAACAGAATTTCAATTGGAAAAGTTAACCATTCTGCTTCCTGAGAACCCGAAGTGCCAAATTATACAAAACTTTGTGGTGAGGGTATAAGACCTCGCCGAAATAATGGTCAATGTCCTGTGTTTGCATCTTGCACAAGTTCTGAGTCCGCCTATCGCTCAACCTCAATTGAAAATTATTAATATCGGTTCACTCCTTTTGGTAACTCCCAAACAAAATTTTAATTTATTTAAACCCTATTGGGCCAGTGATGTATCCGCAAATGTAGTTCAAACTCATTCCTAGAGCCCCAAGTAGAAAAAACCTCTTCGTCTAAAATGTACAAAGAATGAGCGAAAAATAACCACAGACCACTGCCAACAAAGGACGAAATGTTGAATACTAATAGCTCTCAATAATTGTGAGATTAGTGTTCCATTTACTGCCCACTTTGCGGATTTCAATTAAATAAAATTCAATCTCCTCTCAGGATGCGTCCGTCCACTGACTTTTTATGATTGTTTCTTCCTCAAATAGGGTCATAACTCTCATAAAATGATAAATTAGATGTATATAATATCTCTACTTACACTAAGTATAGATAGAGATAGAGGTTAGACATAGGTTCTACATGATGGGGGTAAATGAATACCGACTAAAACCTCTCTTTTTTTATAATATCATTAGAGTTTTGTGTCTTTCCCACATACTTTGTAAGCAAGCATTTTTATCCAACTGATTCCTACTTCAGTCTCAACACACACATGCACTAACTGCGATCTTCGCGAGCCTACAGAGGCACCAACCAAAAATGCAATTGGGAGGCGTCTAGGTCCTACGAGCAGCTTTTCGCATTGTATTGCATAAAATAGACACTGACTGCGCAGTGACCCTAGTTTTAACGGGAAAATCCACTTCCTTCGTAGAAACCGAGGTCCGTTAATACCATCAGTTAAATGTCAACAAGTAGCCAGGTTCCCATAACTGTCACTAGGCTCAAAATCAAAACAATCGCCCTTCGTTCAACGAAAACTAGTAGCAGGAATTAGCAATTCCCTAACAAAGATGTTTATTCAAAATACTTGTCGTTTAACAATCCCTACCGGTCATTTCGCTTTAAATGTAACCCCTGGACCACAGTCGTCAGGGGACAAATGAATGGCCGAAGGAGTGAAGCAACAATGCTCTGACACATGACCGATGGGTCTCTTAAGATTCGAATTTAACTTGAATGCCAAATAAAATATTTTCACTCCTTCATGGTAAAACATTTTAATCAGCCCAAGAGGAAGTCCCAAAGGACCTGTGACCGCACTGAAAGAATGAATCAACACCTAACAATGACAACGACTGACCGCAGGGGTGCTGAGGACAATCAAAGGACACTGGTTGCAGCAGTCAGCTACAACACCAACGCGCCCATCAACTACCAGCGATGGCAACGTCGTTGCGTTGTCTCAGCGCTTCGCCTAACCATTCGGTAGTCATAAACATAACACTTTACTCGCAACACGAACAGCCAGATCTCTTTACATGACAATAAACCCCCAGATGTCTGTTTGAAGGATCGACGCGAGTATTGACAACAGACATTTCGCACTCCGATCATCTTCCTGCCAAGTCTTCCGAGAAATGTTTGTCAAAGTGTCGACGTAGCTGATGGCTTTATGATGGTGCTAAAGAGTCCCTCCATGCTTACCCCGAAATGTAACATTTCGTCAATGATTTTACGACTGTCCCTTGCAACGACAAAAAGGTTTCGTCTCCAATTACACAGCTTTATTCCATAAAATTTATCACCGCCCTAAATCACTGGCACGTCCCGGCGGAAGATTGGACTTTTTTGTGTCTGCACTTTTGCCAGTGAAAGCAGACAGCAAACCGTCATCATCGCCCTCAATGGGTCCTTGTTGGCTACAACATAACAGTTGTAAAAGTGTGATTTCGATTTGCTAACCCCATACAATGGGGCTACTTTACACTTCATTCACAGTTTCTCGAAGTCTAAAGACGGCCATTATCGATGATTATGAGGGATCAAGTTATTCTATTCTGCTCTATTCTATTTATACACGACATCCTCAATTTCATTGAAGTGCCAGTGCCAGTGCCAGTGTTACAACAACTGTGTCTTGACGAAACCCACACAGCTACGTCATTGCCAAGGAAAGGGCACCATCAAGGATCTATGGCCTAACTGATTCATGCATACGCAACCATTTACGCCAAACCACAGGCTTGGTTATTGAAACTAGGCAGATGTGGATTGAGTAAATGTTGTGGACAAATACATACACACTCACAAAACAAGCGTACAAAGCGTACATAGCTACGTACATACATGTAGTGGGTGCAGCGAAATGATTTCGTAAAAATGTGAAAGGGCCAACAAAAAAAATAGTCGTCCTTTGATGGTCGCAATAAATTCTAACTCCAAAGGATTAGATAGCATATGTGCACAGCGGTTGCTGGCGATGCCGATATATGTAGTCCCAAACCGAATATTGGAGGCCTTCTCAATCTCGTTAATCTTTTGAAATTGGGATTTTTCAATAAAATTCCACTACAGCCGGTGCCAGAGATGCTTTACAGCGGGATCCGGGACGGTACAGGCCTGAAAAGTTGTACAATATTCTGCTATTGGTATTGTAGAGGTTACTGAGATTTAAAATATCTGGTCGAAAGTACACGAGCCGTTCTTTCGAGCTAATTTATTGTTGAATATTTCGACGTCGAAAAGTCTAATCTCATGGCGGTACTCACATTCAAAAAAGTCGACGAGACATACAAATGTTGAAGTTAGATTTCCTCCTTCGATATGCGATCAGTCAAAATTAAGCTACAAAACAGATAAAAGACTATGTTTACTTGCACCACAAGATCACGAACAAGAAAATTAATACGCCATAGCTGAAAAGTTCGACCCATGACGAATCTCCCCCTTGGGTGTTCAAATTCACTTACCAAGGGTTTTCATTTCCCAAAATCCATTTCCATACAGTGTTATTAAATAGCTAAAGATTCTGTACAAAATAGCTAGCGAACACAACCGTCCAAATTGCTGAGCAAATAGAGATCTCTTTTCCTGGACTTCTGGTTAAACAAAACAAATCCAGTGTAATACTTGGCTTAACCCGGATAAATGTAAACACATGGCTCAATAAGAAAGGTTGCTCAAGTTCAAAGAAATCAGAAAAATGCAACTCTGTGCTGGAGTCTTATAGTGTCAAATAGACTTTTTAATCTGCAACAGTAGGCTTTGTTTATTTCTATTTATTATTAACAAAATTCTTATATTAAAGTAATTTATAGAAAAATATGTCCGTAAATGCCGAAATTCCAGTATTCAAGGGCTGTGCGCCACAAATCTTACTAGGAACATCTAATCCAAATTTCAAACAATTCTGTCAAAAAGTTGGCTGCAAAAAGTTGGATAGAAAAATCTTGACTTATATAGAAATTGTTATCTATAAGTAGAAGAACCCATCACGGAATCCAAAGACTGAATCCTAAGTAACTCCCTTGGAAAATGTGGCGGAAATTGTCGAACTACCGAATATCGGGAAGTAATTTGACATGGGAGCTATATGAAAATGTGGACATATGTAGACAATATGCTGTCACATGAGGTAGAAACCTTTATAAACTCAAAACATTCCGTTAGAAAATGTGGCTAAAGTCGTGGAGATAGACGCCAATTTGAACTACAAGTGCCGCTAGAAACTGTGGCTAACTCATCAAAGTATCAAATATGGGAAGGTACAATTACATGGGGGCTATATTAAAACATGAACCTATATGGCACACCTTCAAACTTGACCTGACGGACATGGCTAAATCGACTTATAATCTTACGCTGATCGAGATTATATATATATATATATATATATATATATATATATATATATATATATATATATATATATATATATATATATACTTTGTTGGGTTTAAACGGTTATTTTGATGAGCTACAATCGGAATGACAAACTTAATATACCCTCCATTCTTTCCAATCATCAATGGCTCCAATTGAAAGTATACAAACATTGATATGACTGAAGACTTAGTCCACGATGTGGGGTTTTGTAACCTCCACACTGCCTACATACAATATACATACTCACGTAGATCAGCAGATTGCAGGAATGTACATAGGTACACGCTTAGGTATGTGGTGCAATACATCAACGTGGCAGCTATTGTTGCAATACAATGGGGACCCGAATAGCAAGGACGGCAGCCCAGTTCCTGACAGCTGCTTCGTTAGTATTCATATTTTTGTATGCTGATCGTTAATAGAACAACCCACTCCGCTTGATAACAAAAAAGAAGAGGATGGCGGACGGACGGACGTACGGACGGACAGATAAAAACTGAACGGCGGACGGCGTCAAAACAACAGCGTGTAAAATTATTATGGATGTGATTGTGGTCGTTCGCCACGCTTTGATAGGATGGATGAACGGGAAATCAGAAGGGGAAATAAAACACCCTTTGCAAGCAGACCAATCAGAAGTGGTTTCGTGATCCACACACTCACGCTGCAGCCAAAGAGCGTTCTACGGATGCACACAAAAACGCTCTCACCCCAAATGCACCGCAGACAAAGGTCGTAGGAGAACACTAAGGTGTGAGCGAGACAGGTAAGGCCGTGACGTAGAGCGCAACTCTTCACAGCTGAGAGAGGAAGACAAGCTTTGATCGTTGCCATTGCTTGCCACCACCGCGATTCGCCACCGATAAAAGCACATCGAACGGGTTTTATATCAAAATCCGCCCCTTTTTTTCCGAACTCCCAAAGAGAGAATTCCACCAACTCCGCGCTCTACTTCACACAGCGTGCAAGCTGGCGGACTCATGGCCTCCAATCAAACGCATCTAACCAGTTTTAGCAGTGGGAATTGTGATCTTGCCGCAACTTGATTAATTCGTGTCCGCGCGCTCCTCAGTTGGTAGCCGAGAGTCGTGCTGTTTTGATTGAATCGAGTCGCCGCGTTTTACTGACAACGAACAAGCGAACGAGAAACGACAGCTAAACACATTCGGAACATATGAGCCATACGAAAGAACGATTCATGGATATCGAGTAATTTATATGTGGCACTAAAACCGTCGGTTCGGGTGTGTGCATCGCCACTCCAAGCAGAGTGTACTATGGCCAGCAATTAGAACTGCTGGAGGATCAAGTGTAATACAACAGAAGGAAACTGTTTTTAAATTGAATTGCAAAACTAGAAAAGTGTATGGTCTGTTGTGTGAAAATTGCGATAGCCCAATATTAGCATAAGACCAATATTAAAATAAGCCAGTCGCTGGCTCCCCTTTTGAAATGGATATGACCGGTGCGAATTCCCTCAACATGCGGCCATTGTTTGCTGGCTACCCTTTCCAAGGTAAGAACATTTCTGGTTTAAGTAACCCCGGCTATAAAAATTGGAGATTTGATCCCTCAAAATGTTCAATGCAAGCATGCAGTAGCATCACTAGCATAATGTGGCCGAATCGGAATCTTTACATAGTTAAATCATGATTGTATCGATACCGACAAATTGTCTTGCTTTGACATTTTCGGCTCCTTGGTGGAGGAAAGCTCGCACTTCTCTCGAACAAAAATTGTTCGTTTGACACGTGATTATTTTCATAATTGGAATTTTGTCGTCCCATAACCTCGAAACTCCTTCCCACAAGTGTTGGTAACATAATTTATATCTCCACTAAAATTTCTGAAATAGTTACAAGGCCAATTTAAATTTAAAAATGTTTCTTTTCTAATTTTGTACTGTATTTTTATTTTTTCAAAAAAGAAACATTTATTAAACAATTTAAAAGAAAAAATTGTGCTTTGACGACAAAAGAAGAAAACAGCCGGCCAAGCCGTGTCACCATGCCGATACGCCTTGCTAAACACAATGTTACTCTAAATTGCTAATAACCAATGCAAAGAGTTTTTAATTTATCCAAAATTTTGTCATGTGACTAAGGTAATGGTCCACTGCAATGCTTATCCCGCCAACAATGGAAAAGAACGAATCTTCATTCGAAGTGAAATTCTAAAATATTCAGATCAATTCCGTATAGCCATTATTCGAAACAAGACAGAGCATTTTTGAGCAACTTCAAAGAATCGCTTTGCCAGACCGTTGACAAAGGTCATGTCGTTTCGCTCGGACCGATCCATTCAATTTCAGAATAACGGAAAGCGATATCGAACATATTCAGCATAATATATCTGAGGTGTGTTACCTGCAACTACAAAACTATGTGTTGGGGATATTATAAGTTTGATTGGGCCAAAAATTACGTAAAACCTCGAAATATCGGTCCCCGAAAGAGGAAACTATATACCGATCTTCTTATCTCGCTAAGCTGAGTCCATCAAGTTATGTCCATGTTAAATTGTAATCACGCTACAAGTCGTAATTATTGTTCCATCCTCACGAAATTTCGCATGTAGGTGGGGTTAGGGTCTGCAAAATATTTAGGAGTTGAAATGGACCAAAAACAATTTTCACAATTTTCCTGATTTTCCATTTGTTCTGCATGTTGCGCCTACAGACAAATCGACGCGGAATTTAGCATCGGGCCAGAGTTTAGGACTGGGCAGAAGCCTACCATTTTGTTTGGTCATCGGACAATATTTAGCGGGTAAAATATACCATAACTTTTATGTAAAAAATACGAAAATGTCCACTAAATCGCGAATATTTTTAATTCCGACGAAATCACAAATATATTAAAATATCACTTCTGACCGTGACGGTGGTACTGTTAGCCAAGATATCGGTTTCATAGCAAAATGGGTACCATCTAAATGTAAAAGAAATTGACATTTGACTGATTTTGACAATTCTCACCAATTCGGAATTGCCTCTTGCCAGAAAAGGTTAAAATCTAAGAAAAAATAGCAAAATAGGCAGGCTTAATCCCATTATTGTTGTTTTTATAAAAACAACGATTGTTTATTAGCGGAGAAAGATGGTAATGTTTACCAGGGGCTAAGGCAGGGAATACGTAGGTTTCGGAAAGAGCCACCAATCCTCATCAGCTCTCGCGATTTTTCTTTTTTTTTATTGCACAAATGAACCAAAAAAATTAATTTTTTCTCACAATTAAAAACCAATGAACACGGAATTTTGCATGAGTAGAGAATTGGGGATAGGGCTGTAGTATAGCCTTTCGGATGACCATTGTATTATATTTAGCGGGTAAAATGTACCACAACTTTTGTGTGAAATTGTTTTGAATGCCAATCAAAATATGGGGCAAACGTCCCGGTCAAAAACCAAAAGTAACATTTGTGCAGGTCAGAATAGCATTATTTTAAAAATTCGACTAGGATGGGTTTGGACCTAAGGAGGTTTTCCAATACATTGTAGTGTTGTAGGCACGACTATGGCCTTTGCTTACTTGTTTTCATTTGGGTTTGTAATTTGGTATAGTTCTTTCGATTAAGAATGGTGTAAAGTATCAGTATAGCCGGCCCAACCTTTTCATACAATACAAAATCATGTCGAGGCTGAAATCGCCCAACAAGTTTTCATTTAATATCATGTGTCTTGTCCTGCTGGATCGAACATTTGAATTTGAAACCAATTAGATTTATTTTCCCATAACTTGATAATGTCACTACTTCAAGCACACACCATCGTATGTCGGATGGTATATTACATTTTTCATCACGCTTGTGACACCTCGATGTATTCTTTATATTTAGAATAGATGGCCGAGAAGCAAAAAAAATCCTTGCAAAATGAAGAAATCATTGTCTTTGTCATTAGGCATTTCACATGTCGTGGGCATACACGCTTGGCGAAAAGCCACCAGAAAAATAATTAAATTTTTATTAGTTAATGTTTTTTTTTTTTAAAAAAAAAACAGTAATTATTCGATTGTTGTTGGTTGCAGTTTGGAAAATTACTGACATCGACTGCAAAACAATAAATTCCAATGCAATTTGAACAATAAATACTTTTTAGAGCAAAGTGTCCCTGCAAAGGTAATGGATTATGACCGGTATTACATCTTACAGTCAAAACCAGTTACTTCTACAAAAAGCTCGCCATATCATTTATTTTATTGTGAATTTTATCCTTTAGTTTTCCTAAAGTAGGGGAAAACGAAACTGGACCATAAAGAACAGACATAAGAACGGGTCAAGGGGTTTAAATAGGAACAAATAAATAAATCAATCGATGTTAGTGGCAGTAAAAAATTATTAAAAAAAAAAAACAAATCTAAAGCAATAACATTTCCTGTACCACAGTATTATAGAGGGTGTGTTTTGTTTGTCATTCCGTTTGCAATTCATCTTGATAACCGTCAAATTGAAAGTTGACTTAGCCATGCCAGTTCCTTTGATATTAACCATTCTTATGATTTCAGCCGTACACTTTATTGATATCGCAATAGATACCAACTTCTTCACCGTGAAATTCTCAACAGATATTGAATATTGGTTGACCTTTTTCAACACATTCATTTATGTAACTTTTACCGAATTAGTTCGATTGTAGAAGATTTAAAGGTGTAGCAAATCTAACTTTGACAGTTCTACACCACAAGGTGGTCAGGGTATTATGTCTTTGTGCATTTGTTTGTAGCAGGCAAAAGGAAACGAGATAGACCCATAGTTCCTTTTGATGATCTGCATAGAATCACATTCTGAGTCGATTTATGCGTGTCCGTCCCTCCCTCCCTCCGTCCGTCTGTCCGTCCATGTATTTTTGTAAACGAAGTACAGTTCGCATTGCCCTATCCAGATGAAATTTTGCACGAATCATTTGTTTGGCCCAAGTCAAAATTTAGATATAGCTCCCATATATATCTTCGTCCGATTTGCCCGAATAGTATGAAATTTTGCACATACAACCAAATTAGGCCTGAAAATAAGTATGCCAAATTTGATCGATATCGGTTCAGATATAGCTATAGCTCCCATATATACTGTTCATCCGATTTGTCATATTTGTTACCCACAGCCGTAATATACACTCCGTAACAACGATATTCAGGGAAATACATCAAATACAGCTCAGAAATATCTTTGCCAAATTTTATCGAGATCGGTTCAGATTTTGATATAGCTCCCATACATATTTTATCCGATTTCAAATTAATTGTGCACCAAATGGGCAATACAAGTCCGAATTTAAAAGATACAAATGCTTCGGCATATTTAGTCCTTTGAACTTTAAATTATAATTATAATCATAGCGTGTATGATTGAATTCCCCTTTTAATTGTTATGCGGAGCTCTACTAAATTAGCAAAGTGGTGTAGAATATCATAATTATAATCATAGCGTGTATGATTGAATTCCCCTTTTAATTGTTATGCGGAGCTCTACTAAATTAGCAAAGTGGTGTAGAATATCATAAAGTCGGCTACGCCCGACTTTCTTTACTGTTTTTTTTTTTTTTTTTTGTATTTGGAAGTGGAAGATATAATAATCATAATCTGGTGTATTTTTTGATAACCTGCTAAAATTTAACCAATTACATTTTCTCAGAAAGAATTTGTAGACTCTCAGTAACCAAGTAATGCAGATTGTATTGCAAATTCTCTAGCATTTAACTTGTTCAAATTATTAAAAAATATTGAGTTATCGTACACACCTTTTATTTGGCGGGTTTGAAGAAATGGGGCAGATGCATTTTCCCACTGTGGGGAAGTAGAAGTTCTCTGTAGCCTTTGTACGTCGAGTTGAGATTTGCATATTGCATCGCAATGAATTCTTCCATTTTTTCGCCAAGATCGAATGAATGAGAAGAGTCCAGAAAAGAAGAAGAAACTGTAGAGTAGAAATTCCAAATTGCGAACCGTAGATTATCTCATATCTCTTTTTTCCTTTTCAGGCCAGGGTCGCGTTAATCAACTTGGAGGGGTTTTCATCAATGGTCGACCTCTTCCCAATCACATCCGCTTGAAAATTGTCGAAATGGCTGGCAGTGGAATTCGACCGTGTGTCATTTCGAGACAGTTGCGAGTCTCGCATGGCTGTGTGTCGAAGATTCTGAATCGCTACCAAGAAACCGGCTCTATTAGGCCTGGCGTAATCGGTGGATCCAAACCCAAAGTCACATCTCCGGAGATTGAGGCGCGCATTAAAGAGATGTGCAAAGCAAATCCAGGACTCTTCAGCTGGGAGATAAGGGAGAAACTAATAAGGTGAGTCAAGGGCAAACCCTGATTATTATTGTTGCCACAACGGCCACCGCAGCCATGTCACTCACGGCTGCAATGTTGCGTACTGCGTACTTCCGATTTCCCAAAAGTCACGTGTTGCCACCTAAGATGCCCAAGATGGTCAACTTCCGTTGATTGTTTGTCGGGCACCCCCTATCGACATTGTTTACAGTGTTAGGGGCAAACTGCACCTTTTTGGAGGCGGAAATTCAAATTGAACTGCATTTGATTGAATAAAGAATTCGGACACATTTTTGCGGACAGACAATTCGTCACCCAAATTGTTAGGACACAAATTACGGATGGCAACAGGGTACAGTCGTTGATGGCAGACTAGAGCATAGAGCACAGAGCACAACTACAACTTCCGCCTTGGCACGATCGCCTCTTTTAACTGTTCCGATCATGGCCTTTACTCTTTTTTTGCATTCATTGTTTTGATATTCCGTCTCTGCGTGCATGTCCAATGCTGCTTATTGTTGCGGACACCTTGAAAGACGTTGCGGTCGCTATCGGCCATGGGCGATCTAAAACAATTACAACAGCCCGCACATACAAAGGCATCTACCTATAAACACAGAGATTGTCACAGAAATGAAATGGTGCAATTAATAAATAGAATATGGATACATGTGTATGTGTGTGTGTGTGGGTATTTGTACTATCCTCAAACCACTCTGCGTTGCTTTAATGTTCTCTTGACCCGGAAAGGAGTCACATTGAAGACTTGCCACATCTCTAAATAGGCGTAACTTTGATATTGATGGACTTTTTCGTTTCGTTTCAAACCAGATGCTCATGACTCTTACATCGGTGGGGGTGTTATAAACCCCAGTTTTGCAATAAACGTCATGAGGCTCTCGACTACTCATTTGTTATTTTCCCATTGCCATGTTGGCATGCAGCCAGCTAGGAACAAAGTCCAAACCATTATTTTGGATACAAACCCTTACCTACACATCACATATGTAATATTTTATTGATTGTCCGTCCGTGGTTGTAAAGAGATCGCCTCTTACCACAATGGACATTAGATCTGCGGCGGGGCCTCAACTAAACGCTTGCATCAAAATTGCAACAAAATATGATGGTCGTAGGCCAACAGCCTTTTAAAGTCAGCCTCCCTCTCTTGTTGCATCGTTGTTGTAGCTGCGTTTGTTTGCGTTCTCCGATTCACCATAAAAATGGGCTGAACACAGCCTCCAGGTGCGCTTCACGGTCAATTAGAATATAAGAAACGATAGCAGGACGGAAAAGTTGAAATATTTAATGTTTTCATATTTTTTTTTATTATCGGTCGGTTATCCTAGTCTGGCACTCATCTCAGAAAAATTGAATACTTAATTTATATGCGAGTGGACCACAGCAATTGCTACCTACAGACAAATGGGCGCAAAAAGTACAGAACAAATACGCGTGATGTAGATAAAGTGTTATTCTTTTTTGTAGGGCGGAACTTTTATCAGTTTGCACAACATGTGCAAATTAATATGACAACTTCAGTTCGTATTTTCGTGTATCTTCAAAAAAAAACGGATTCATGACTAAAAAAAAGAGAGGTTAGTGGTAAACTCCAAATAGTCTAAGTGTTCACGTTAGATTCTGCAAAGTATAAAATATGCTCGTGATCGGTTAGGGATAGAGATGTCCGCATGTCTTTCTGTTGTAATCACGCCAGAGACGACTAAAAATTTGCACACATGTGTATTTTGTCAGAAAGAAGGTCAAGTTAGTATAGGGTAATATCGGTCTACGGATTCGAACAGCGTCCCGATATCCGATAATTGTATTATATATGTATGTATTTCTCATTTTGTATTTGATGCTCGCAATATTTACCAACCACTGTGGCAAATAATAGTCAGTTCGTGAAATAATTGGTTTAACCCCTAAAAATTCCTTTTGTGGACCTATATGATCCATGTTCAATAAAATAGAGTTCTACAGACCTAAAATATAT